CTCTACGCGTTCTGCGGGCTGCTGGCGCTCGTGCCGCTCTGCTGGTTCGCCAACATTGTGGTCCGCGAATTCTACGACCCGAATGTATCCGTGTCAAACAAGTACGAACTGGGAGCACGGCCCGCGGCCGGCGGCGACTACGACAAGAAAAACTACGTCTGAGGGCGCCAGGCACGGCGGGGCCCCTCGTGTCAGCGACGCTCACAAGCCGGAGTACTGCCATGGAGCTCCGCAGCCCGTCCACTCCGACCGTTACTCGCTGGGTCCTGGGCGGTGCCCTGCCTGAACAGGCAACACGCACTTGGGAGGACTTGCTCGGTTTCTTTTTCTGGGGGCATTGTTGGCTCCGACGTGGGTGGGGCTCAGATTCCTTGGTTGTGTGGGCGCTGGACCAAAGATGCCACTTCTCTGCCCATCCCCACCAGCGGTTTCTGCTGATTCCAGAGGGTCAGACTGAGGGCCCGGGGCCCCCAGCCTGGGTTGCATGAAGGATGTGTACAGCTGGCCTTTACCGCCATCAGCAGGCCCTGAGCCTAGGGGGCCCAAGAGACTTGGTCTGGACCTCCCTCCCTCCCTCAACCCAGCAGCTCCCCAGGCCAAGATCCTGAGTGTGGGGCTGGGGTGCTGTCCTCCTTCGCCGTTTGGGGGAGGGTAAGAATTTGTTTAGTAAATGGTTTGAAAACCCTCCCACCTGTGTTCTGTTGTCTGTGCTGTACCACCTGTACCCAGCAGCCCCCATTCATCCACCCACACATGGACTCCTCCCTGAAAGGCTCCTGTGGGGACCTTCAACAGCTAGCTCCAGAGCCCATAGATCCCACCCACAGCCTTTCCTTGGGTCCTCTCTGCCACATGATCACATTCCTGCTGGGTAGGAAACAGCCAAAGCTCGCTGCAACCCAGGAAGACCCTGTAGTCAGAAGAGCCTCTCTGAGCCATGGGACCTGGGAGGAAGGGGTGGTCACTCCCCCCGCCTCCCTCAAGCCAGTGAGTGGTGGGCTTGAGATGCAGGAAGTGCTGAGGGTGGGCTGCCAGGATACTGCTGGCTTTGTTTAGAAGAGGCTGGGCTCCACAGGGTGGGTGTTTTCCACCTGCCCTCTCATGGCTCATCTATCTCTGGGTCACATTAAATGGCCACAGACATCTGTACACCAACTGGGCCTGTCAGCTGGGTGCAGTGGGAGCAGGGGCGAATCCAGGATGTGTGCTGGGTGGGCTCCGGCAGAACTAGCTGCAGGTCGACAAGCTTGTTGCCATGGGAGGAGGCCTCATGGCCAGTGGCCTGGAGAGTGCCAGGCTCAGCTCCAGCCCATCCTGGCTCTTCTGCCAATCTTGTTCCACTGTGCCCAACCCGATGACCATCCCAGACTTGTGCCATCAGCACCTGCTGGGAGCCCCCTGTATGACCCTCCTCCTGTAGGTGGGACCCCTGGGAGCTATGCTGTCCCTGGTCAGGCGCCTGAGGGTGGTTGTGGATCCCAGAAGAGCAGAGCAAACCAGAGCTATTACAGCGGCTGAAAGCTCGTTGCTTCCAGCCCTGTTCGAGGCACTTGAAATTAATGTATTTTTACCTTCTGCCAGACTAGGGCAGAAGAGAGCAGTGGACAGAAGCAAAGGAGGTGTTCCAAGCCTGGCCAGCAGGAAGGTTTGGCATCTGCCCCTAACCCTGGCCCTGTCCAGAAATGCCAGTGTCATGTCCAGTAGCAAGGAGTCCCCCAGGCTTGGTCAGGCCTCTTGGGGGGGAGTAGGGGGAGAAGGGTTGATAAGGAGAACCTGAAGACATGGGCTCAGGGTGGCCACAGCAGAGCCAGTGAGTGGGACTTCCCAGGAGGCTGAAACATCTGGTGGCCTGAGCTCCCAACAATGGGATGAGCTGCAGCAGGATGGGCCCCACAGTACAAAGGACCTCAGCAGCCTGCCATGGCCTGTGCAGCAGGGACCAAAAACAGCTCCTGAGGGAGTCTGTCATTCTGGTTCTTACACTGCTGCTCCTGGCTGCTGGGGCCAGCTAATGCTGGCTACAGGGTATTTGGCCAAGAGCAGCCTGCATCCCACACAAACCCATAGCTCTCCAACTCTTTCAGGTCTCAGCTGGGGTTCTGAAGCCAGCTGCACAGACAGCTTTTGCAAACAGCCAGGGTGGGCAGCTTGAGGGCAAGCCCTGGAGAGCCAGGCTGCTGCTACCTGACCGATGCCAAGAGCAGGGTGCAAAGTCCACTGCCAGAGGTCAGGAGAGAGAAGCTGGCCCCCATTGCAGCCAACCTCACTGTGCCCACTACCCTTTCCTAAGGGCTGCCTTGAGTCTTGGCCACACCCACCCACAGCCTCAATTTCAGGCCATTCTCTAAGCTTTCCCCTCCACAACTTACAGCCTGCTCAAACTACTCAGCCTCCACCTGCCCACGGCCCCAGGTGCTGCACTCAGGTGGCCACGTCCCTCCAGCCTGCTTGCCTCCCTGGCACCCAAGCTCCCAGGTGGTAACCACAGACAAGCTCAGCCACTTGTATGAACTCTCTCCTCCCCTAAAACTGGTGAGGTATCTGACAGACCTCCCAAAGAGCAGGAATAGATGGGAGCAGGGAGCATCCTCACCTCCAGATCATGCTCCAGAGACATCTGGGAGAGTGGGACCAGTGGATCCCATGGCTCCTGGAGAACTCTCGCTGTTCTGAAGACTTAGGAGGTCACCAAGGTCCTGTCTAGCTCGGACCTTCTGTGACAAAGACGCAGGTGAAGCTGACCTTGGGGGCATCGTGTCTCCATCAGCAGACCTTCTGGCTTGGGCCTCACTGTGTGCCTGTGGGGTTGGTGATGCATGGACACATAGGTGCTGAAGTGTGAGATGACAGTCCTGGGGTGGCTGATCACAAGAGTGGGACATGGTCAAGAGAGTGAACTTGAGATGTTGCCAAGGCCAAGAGGAAGTGGTGGGAGAGTGGACACAACCAGGTTCTGGCTGGCATTGCTGGGCAGTGATTGACGCAGTGCTATATAGACACCCAGATGATTGGCCTCTGCCCATTGCTGTCCCCAAACCCCCCACCCGTGCTGATTTCCTGTGGGGCCTGAGGGTGTCCAGGGCACATGATCAAGGCTTCTAGGCATCCACAGAAGGCTCCGAGCACAACTAAGTGCTTGCCCTGTGACTGGAGCAAACGTTGGCACACCAAACCTAAAATAAGCCTTTTATTCCATTAAAAACCACTGTCCCTGCATTTAAAACTGTACCCATAACTTACAATCTAAATAAAAAGCTTATTAATATAAATAAGGAGAAGGAGGTCATTTCTGAAGATATCCAACTCTGAAAAAGAAAAAAAAGAAAGAAATTTCAAACAATTATTATGTCTCCCCCAAAGTAAATAATACATTGCTAGGCCTTCCCTCCGACATGCCAGGCTGCTGCTTCTGAGTAGCCCCCTCCACTCACTGACCCTGCCCTCCTGACTATACCCCCTACCCAGGTCCAGGCTGTTATCTGCTCGAGAACCCCAGAAGGCCTTATGGACCCCCAGCACCTTCTTACTTGCAGATCTTACCCAGTGGCTTGTCCAGCCTCAGCCCCATGGTGACCCTCCCCTTGCCTGAAGTGTCTCGCTGCCACCCCCGGCACACTACTCCTCACCCTTCCTGGCTGAGCCACCTTGCACCCTGTCTTTGTGGAAGGACATACCACTGAGCTGACTGCAGGAGAGGGATTGCCTCAAATGCCAGCCTCACTGCCCGGGAGCCCCATCTGTAACCTTTGACTGGATCATCTGCTCTTAGTTTCCAGCTTATCATGGACGGGGGAACAGGGGGACTCTGGACCGGCATGAGGACCCCCTCCTATGTCAGAGCCTTGACAGGCTCATCTGCCACAACAGTAGCCCCAGCCCAGACTCAGGGAGATGCAGGACTAGGTGTGGGCATCCACTGGATGGGGGGCCCTGTGCTGAGAAGTGGTCACTAGACACAGAGCAGCCCCTGACCTGGTCAGCTGTGGCCTTTCCCGAGGAGCCCGTCAGTTACAGCCACATGCTGGTGCAGGCCCTCGTACAGCCACCATTTCATAATTCTCAGCTGAGTGGCTGACAGTAGACACAGAGCAGCCCCTGACCTGGTCAGCTGTGGCCGGCCCTCGTACAGCCACCATTTCATAATTCTCAGATGAGTGGCTGACAACAGCTTTGCTGACAACAGCTTTGCTTTCTCAGAGCCTGAATAGAGGCCCTTGTGGGCTCCAGCCCAGGGCCTGAAGCCAGGCTGAAGGGGCAACAAGGCTCCAGGTGGCCTGTGTCCCTGGCTGTTGCCCAACCCACAGTATGGTTGGGAAGAGGGCAAATGCTGGCTATTTCTGAAGGGGCCTCAGGAACTTAATGCAATTAGCTCCCCAAAATGCCCCATTGTGGGCACGGTCCCCAGCACAGAGACAGACATTCTTGGGAAAAATGTGTTGGCCCCAGTTCTCCTCAGGAGCCCCGCTATGGTCTGAAACCCAAGTAGAAGCCCCGATTGAGGAGGAAAAGAGCAGGGAAACCACAGCAGGAATCCGGCGGGGCCTTTAGCAGCACCGGTTTTGTGGCAGGGCTCCCACCCTGCCCCCGCACTCACCCTCAGGACAGGAGGGAAACAAGCGCGTCCAAAAACTTGCTTCGATCCTCCGCTTTCAGTTCAATTACTGCAGTAATGAAAGAAAAACATCTTGTGAGAAGGGAGGAGTAGGGATGGGAGGGAGAAGTGAGGAAAACAAGCCACAGCACATTAACTTCTTTCCAACCACCCAGGGCTGGAACCCTCCAGTGCATTCCAAAATGGACTTGGCTCCCTGATGGCCTGGAATATTCTGGACTAAGAAGTTATACTTCCCCATCCCACTGTATTTAATCCTCAGAAACCTCCAGTTGCCCTTTTGGTGAGGCTGGGGTTGTGGTCTGTGGGGAGGACCCTCCAGGCAGCCAGGGGAACAGCACTGACAGGCAACAGAGGGGACACAGGGATGACTTTTAACACCATAGTCCTGGGCACAGATAGGCCTTCCACCCTGCTGGACAGAGTGCTGCCCCACAGTGGGTTGTGAGAGGCCCTGAAGCCAGCCTTCCGTCCTGCTCTGGCCAGTCCCTCAGATTAAGTGTCCTCTCTTGTAGAAGGGGGACACAATGCGAATTGCCTTTACTTCTGGAGGGCATCAGGCTCAGACAAACACATGGGCCCTCATTAGAGGGCAAACTGTCCTGGCCTGATCCTGCAGCTGTCTGTGCCATGAGTCACAGCTCCAGGAGCCTCAAGCTCAGCTCACCCAGGCATACTGGCCAGGGCTGCCCATGATCTCCACCCACAGGGGAAGCCAAACAGCTCCTGGCCCACAAACCCTCCCCAGGTATAGCTAGGGCACCCTGCAGGTCAGCCAGCATCAATCTCTCCCACCTCTCAGACACGAAACAGCAATTGGGGGGCTGCTGCTGGAGGTGAACCCACCCAACTGAGCCACAGCCTGAGTGGGCCCAGTATGAAGAAGCCAGCTCTAGACACTGAGGCAACTGGAATGAAGACTGGGTCTCTGATCACTGTGATCATCGTCATTAAGAAATCAGGTGGTGAGCCCTGGTGGGGTTTGGCTCAGTGAATAGAGCGTTGGCCTGTGGACTGAAAGGGTCCTGGTTTGATTCCGGTCAACAGCACATGCCTGGGTTGCAGGCTCAATCCC